ATTATGGGAGCTCCAAACCCATCTACCTGCCTTCAAGCCAGTTTGACAATCACTTACTTAGCGATCAGGGCTGGGCTAAGCTTAGGAGAAAAAACGATGTTCTAGAACAGTAGTTGCCAACTGGTGGTCCGCGGACCACTGGTGGCCCATGAGGTCTGAAAGTTTGGCGACCGCTGCTCTAGAACACAGACACACCACCTGTAACACAGACTGATGAATGCTTCTTCACCTTCCCACTGCAAATCACTCTCCCTTTGCCACCAACATTACTTATAAAGTTCTCTGTTACCTACAAGAATAATGACCTCATTGCTTAGTCTGGCATTCAGTGCATTCATCAATTGCTCTCCCTTCAGGCTCTTGCCCTATTGCTTCTGGGAGAGAAAAGAATACTCAACTAAATCAGAATTATTTAGGGTTCCCCAAATGAATTTCTTTTTCTCTGTCTGCATAGGCTCACCCTCATCTCTGCCTGTTTAAATCCCACTCTTCCTATGAAGACCTTGCTCAATCGCCACCCTCCTCCACAGGGCCTTCCCTCCCCAACCTACCTATTGTAGAATCTCTCTCTTCTTTTTCTGTTTCCCTAATCAGTTTTTACTCCATTACAGTATTCTTGTGTCCTGTACCACACTGGGTGGAAGTTACCTGAGGGCAGGCCTCTCACCTCATGTGTGTCTGTCTCCTGGGAGCTGCTGAGTCAGTGCTGTGGACCTGACTGGAACCTCTTCCCAGTCCCCTCCACCTGCTCTGAAACCTTGCTTCGAATCTCAGAGCTGGCCAGAGTCACAGTCACTTTCCAGGACTCGGTTTAGCCAGCGGTGAAAGCTGCACTTGAGTTGGGATGTGCCGAGGCTGCCGAATTGGCATGAACTATAGGCCTAAAAGCAGTCACGCTCCGTAACAGAGGATCGGTTACTTATTGCATGTAATTCCTCCTCTGGCCACTTCTCTGAGGCTTGAACCCACATTGCCTTGCTGGCTTTATTTTTAGGTGTCTGGCCGTTTAAAAGAGGGCTCCAACTCTCCCTGGTTTATTAGCACACTATGAGCTGCCCTTGGAAACTCAGGGCCCTGATTCCGAGAAGACAGCCTGTTTAGTTGAGACTCTTTAGTTCTCCAAGTTTGAAACTCCACGTTCTAGGTGAGTGGCTTCAAGAATCATCTGAGGCATTTGAAAGCATGCAAATTCCTGGGTTTATCTTTAGTTTCTGAATTCCTGTGTCTGGGCAGGGCCCCATGGCCATGTAATTTTTTCAGGCTCCCAGGTGATTCTGCTGCTGGCTGGTCCTCCTTAGGGAAAAACTACTGTAGAATTGAAAGCATCTCTCAATGAAAAAAAATGTTTGTCACAGTTAAGCAACTGATGTGATGACAAAGTTGTCATATCTCAGAGATCAAGGTCTCCAAGCACCTCCCCTTTCGTCATGCCACTCCTCTGCTCAAGAACATGCAGCGGCTCCATCTTTCCTCTTCCAGATCAAGCACGAACTCCTCCCGTGACATCTCACCTGCAAGTGATGGGCTATTTCACCTCCGCTGCTTTTCAACCTACTTATTTCACATCCAATCTCTTCTTCATTAAGAATCATCCACATCTTATTGAAAGTCTCCTATATGTCAGGTATTGTCTCATTCGTTCATTCATTCATTCGTCCATTCATTCATTTAATCTTCAGGTCACTCTTGAGATAAAGTTATTATAATGCTCCCCATTGGCATTGCAAGTGAGTTTCTATGACCTGCCCAAGGTCACACAGCTGGTAAGTGAACTTGAAACCCAGAATGACTGATGTAAGTGCCATTGTACCCTCATGTAATACTGTGCTGCTTACATGAAGCCCATTTAAGTTTTAATACATTTAAATACATTTAAGTAAGCCCATTTAAATACATTTTTATTTTTTAGACTCCAGTCTAGTACCCTCCTCTGAACTCAGAGGCAGACTCCATTTTCCTCATAAGTAAATTGGGTGCGCATGCCTCCTTCAAAGGCCACTGTGAAGATCAAGGGCAATAAGGTATCTAATGTACTGTGCATGGTGTCTGCACAGTCTGGGTCAGTGGTCGGCAAACTGCGGCTCACCAGCCACAGGCGGCCTGCAAGCCTCGGTTTGCCGCTCTGTTGACTAATGAGTTTGCCCACCACTGGGATAGGGGCTTAATCACAAGGAACAACAACAGCCTGTAATTATTGAAATCGAAAGTCTAGGTCAGTGTTTGGCAAAGTCTCTCCATGTAGGAGAGATGAAAATCGTGTGGCTCTTGAGGAATGATGAGATTTAATTTTCAGATTCAGCTTTCTGATATCTGTGGGTCGGAGGTATCATTCAAGGATAAAGACCTTAGGAATCATCTTTCCTGCTGGGACATATATTACCTCCTTTTCAAAAAATAATCTTAGGGCCACCGCAGCCATGGAAACGAATGGGGCAGGTGTCGCTTACTCTGGATAAGAGGCCCTTCTCCCTGGTGGGCAGGGGAAAGAAAGGCTGCAGTCAGGGAGAGTAAATGGACCGAGGCTGTCTTTTCACGGTCTGAAAAGAAGACATTCTCCCAGTGCATCCATCAATCAGGCCTCAAGATAGAGGATGCTCTTCCCTCCCCTTTGAGCGACTTCCAACCCTTCTGTGTCACCATCAAGGGCCTTCTCATCTGCTTGGTGACCCTAAAGCACATGTGTCAAACACAAGGCCCGCGGGCCAAATCCGTCCCGCCAGGCCTTGCAATGTGGCCCGCACCGCGCTGTCATCACTGCACTCCGCTGCGTTTCCATCACAATGACAGTTTATGACTGTTCAGTAAACCATTCAGCCCGCGATTTAGGCTGGATTTTAGATTTTGGCCCCTTCTCTGATTGAGTTCAACACCCCTACCCTAAAGTATGATGTTCTGGTCACAAGTCAAGAGTAGATGTGTTTCTCTGTGCCTCTGCAGCAGTTGGAAAGGGAGGGAATTTGGAGCTTTCCCTAAGCACTTCCCAGCCTACATTTTCAGTTTTGCTTATTCTGTCAAGGTGAAGGAAGCTATTATTTATGGTCTTTCATGAGGAAAGGATAGGATGCAACTGTGGGAGACAGTGACGCATGCTGGTTGGACCAGCCATTGCGATAGTGAGAAGTCAGGGGGTAGGATTCAGATCCTGTCTCAGTGGCAAAAAAACACACCACCCTCTGCCTCAGTTTCCCAAAACTGTAAAGTGAAGGTGATCATGCCTACTTTGTAAGGGGGTGGCAGAGATTGAAATAGTTTATGTAAATGTTGTGTAGTGATAAAATACCGGATTCTGAATCTCTCAGTATTTAGTTGTGTGCAAGTTGTGTGTAATCCAGCCTCTAATCTCAGTTCAGCCAGCACTTGCTGAGAAGCTTGTGTGGTAGGGTGCTAGGTTTGCCTTTGAGGGCATACATATGATGGAGATCTGGTCTTCATGACGGCTTCATGGTGAATCCATGACCAGTGTGGATAAGGCACCAGTGTGATCGGAGGGAACCAGAGCCCAGATCATTGAAGGGACTCTCCTGAGGCTTTAGAGCTAGTTATTTCCAGAATCCATCCCCAGACCTCCTGATATGACACCCAGAGCTTTTTCCATGGACCTGTAGCTTTTGTTTTAAGAAAGAAAAAGGGCCATTTACATCATTCTGAACTAGAGCTAAATGATGCAGAGACCAGGCTAGAAAGGATTATTGAATAGAAATATCCAAAGAGGAGCTCACTGCAGGACGAAATATGACCACGTTGGGAAAAGGAGTCCTCATTTGCCTGGGGTGATCTTGTCATCTGCAGGCTTGGGGAGCTCTTGACCGAGCTCTTGGCGGCCTCTTCCACTTCTAAGCTCAGCAAACAGGTCAAGCTGTTGATCCAAGAGATGCATCTCTGATGATGTCAGCCTCCCTCTGGGCACGTGGGCCCATTATCACGTGCACTTGGCCTTCACTCAGCAATGTCCCTGCATCTCAGCCTGGAGTGACTCAGCAAGGGAGAGATTCTGTTCCTCCCGAGAGAAGGGGTCTGGTTTTCTCGGGACAAATGTTCTTGCTGCATCTCTTGCCCACCGAGGTGTATGAAGTCACACTTTTCAGCCATTTCAAACCCAATTTAAACTGGGCTGGCATTTCAGGGACAGGACAATAGCTCGGTGAGTTCATTTCCCCAAGAAAACTAGGATGGTAATGTATCTTTGCTTCTGTGGATTTCCTTTACTATGAAAATAATCAAGGATACATTATGAGAAGTTGAAATCACTCAGACATCAATCACCAAGATGCTACCATCGTCATCTTACTATAATTTGCTTGTATTGTCACTTATTTATCCACTGATCTACTCATTGATCTATCCACCAGTCAAGCTATCTTTTTAAAATAAAATTAAAGGTACATTGCAGCAGACATCAGAACACTTTTCACTTAATACTTCAGCATTGTTATTATCTGGTGAACAAGACTAATGATAAATGGCTCTCACAGGTATACCCAGTACAATTGACGACAGCTGTCTTATTATCACTGAGTGTTTTTATTTGTTTGTTTTTGGTCCTAAGGCAGCAATGAGGTAGACAGGCAAAAATTATTGTTTCTTAACAGTTAAGGAAACTGCAGGCAAGAAGGGTGACTTACACAAGGTCACAAAGCCAATACATGGTAGTGGATTTGAAAACCGGTCTTGTGATTTTTAAAGTCAAGGTTTTCTAGGCTGTGCTCTTATACTCTGGAGGAAAGAAAGATACATGAATAAGATATCTATAGGCCAAATAGTTGAAATATGAATATGATTAACCCTTCCTATTTCAAATGAGGTTTTCAGAATAATTTCAAAGTCAACATGTTGTACAATCTATTTACTGAGCATTTTCTATGTGCCATGCACTCAGCCTGTTGACCAAGCATTTTTAGCAGACTTGACGATTTGAACTCTACCCATAAGCAATGCTATATAAACCTCCTTCTTATGAGCAACTCGGAAGACTTACCATTTTACTTCCTTTATTCTCTCAGCTCAAGGCCTGAGTCATTTCATGAAGGGAGTGCTCTGCATTGGCCCTGTTCCAGCCAACAGCTGCAAGGTGCTGGACTGAAGCAGGTAAGGGAAAATTGGCTTAAATTTAGCATCACAGAAATCTGTTCCTGGGGACCAGTCAGTATCCTCAGGGCAGGGTAGTTACCTATACAGCCACTAGTCCCAAGACAGAGACCTCCCTTCAAGGATTAGTAAGGGCAACATGGTTTACCTGTAGCCAAAAATCTGCCTGGTTGAAACATGACTATATTCTCCCACATAGTGATCAATGGGTGGACCCAGGGAGGAGCCATATTGAGCAGAAGGAAAGGGAACATACATTTTACATATATTTTTACAGAATCGCATGGCCTTCCTGTAGGGAAGGAGCACTTATTATCCCCATTTTACTATGCAGCAAGCGATCAGGATACCAGCTCATTTTGGTTTGTCTGAGAATTTCCCAGGTTTCACATATTCTTGAAATATCTTGGTTCTGGACAAACTGTGATAGCTGGTCACCTGAGGTGGACCTGAGATTCTACCTCCACTGCAAAGAGAATGCTCATAAGCTTAGCACTCTCCTGCCACTCATTCATGATGTCATCTGATAGTCCAATCAATGGGTATAAATTTAAGGATGTTATACCCATTTTACTGATGGGGAAATGGAGGCTCAGAGAGGTTAGTGACTTGCTCAGAGTCTAGTGATTGAGCAGTGGCAGAGGCAATTTGTAATCCAGCTGTCTTTAGCTCTGAGGCTCCTCCATTCAACTCTCCTAAAAGGCTAGGTACAGTCTGACAGGCGTGTTATTTGTGACTATGTTCTCCCATTCAGTTGGTTGCTTTTTCATTTTGTTCATGGTTTCCTTGGCTATGCAGAATTTTTTTTAGTTTGATGAAGTCTCATTTGTTTAATTTTGCTTTTGTTTCTTTGTTTGAGGGGATATACCCAAAAAGAAATTGCTGAGTGATGTCAAATAATTTCCTAACGATGTTTTCTTCTAGGATATTTATGGTTTTTAGGTATTACATTTAAGTTTTTAACACATGTTTAGTTTTAGTATATAGTGCAAGATAATGGTCCTGTTTCAATTTGTTGCATGTATCTGTCCTATTTTCTCTTGTTGAAGAGACTGTCATTTCTCCATTATATATTCTTGCCTTCTTCATCATAGATGAAATGACTATATAAGCAAGGGCTTAAGGTACACCTGAAACTACTATAATATCATATGCCAATTATAGTTGAATAAAAAGAGAAAACAATGACAGGTAGGAAGAAGCAGTGGCTTCTCTGGGAACTCCTCTATCTGCCCTCAAAAGCCCCTAGGATGATACTCTTTTCAGTCCTTAAACTTTTAATTGTGTCTCTCAACCCCAGGACATGATGCAGAGCCACAGGGAAGGAATGCAGTGAAGGACGCAGGTTAGGGCAGTTGGATTCCAGGGAGCACTCCAAGGAACCAACAGTGGGGTGGTCATTATCATCAGATGCCCATCAGTGGGGTGGTCATTATCGTCAGATGCCCATCAGAGAGACTGAGCCTGGGGTCGAAGCTCTGTGAAGGAGGGCCAGCTCAAAGAGGGTGAGGGACAGTGACTGAGGAGAGGCTAGAAGGTCAGAGCTAGCCATCTGTTTGAGCAGCAGCTGAGCTGACCAGGGAAGGGCTTTCCTGCACCTGAGTCTGACTTGACCTGACAGCCCAGACCAGCTGGCAGGAGCTGAACACACTGGGAGTGCCCTCTGTCTGAAGAACGTCCTTCACAACCATGTCTGCCCTGCTTATTCCCTCCCAGTGCATTGAAATATAGCACATCTGAAACAGGTGGCCAATGCCCTAGGTCTACCATTTACTGAGTACCCACTGTGCACCAGGGCCCTGTGCAAGGCGCTGGGGAGTGGGATATGAATAAGGCATGGCTGTCCTCTGGAAGGAGTGACTCTTCATTGAGAAGCCAGATCTGAGAGCAGCTCGTCGTGCTGGGCATAAGAGCCACAGGTATGGGAGCTTCTCACACCTGAGTTCCCATCCCGGCTTTGAGACCTTGGCCACGTTACCTAAAACTTTCTCTGAGACTCTTCTCATCTGTAAAATGGGGTTGATAATGGCACCTTGCAATTGCTGTGGGGAATAAGTGTGATGATGCATGGTCCAGAGCAAAGTTCAATGTCTATTACTCAATTAATTACTTAATTAATAGTAGTTATTTTTCCAGTTCTACCACTTACCAACTCTGTAAGTTTGGGCAAGTCGATGAATCTCTTTGTGCATCAGTTTCCCTCCTGTGAAATGGGTGTAATAATAATAACTATCTTATAAGAATGTTGAGATAATCAAATCAGATAATATATATAAATCTCTTAGAATAATGCCTAGCATACAACCAGAATTGAATATATAATAGTGATTGTTACCAACACGTATAGTAATGCATGCTATAACAGGTATGGACAAAAACTAAGATAGTGTAGGAGAGAATTCTAGGAAAATAGATATAAAGGCATTTTGGGAAGGAGGCAGTCTATGCAGGGTAAAGGGGTATGAAGATGTATAGCATTTTGAAGAACTGGCTCAACTTGGCAGGCCAGGGCCACAGAATGGGTAGAGGGTGGATGGGCTTAGGAATGAGCCAGCATCTAGCTTCTGCCACATATTAGCTAGGTGACCGTTGGAAAGCAACGTCTCTTGTCCCAGCTTCCTCCTCCTCACCAATACACAGAGCTAACAGTTTCTGCTCTTCTATGTCAGTCTCAGGATGAAATAGCACAAAATGTGCGATTGCACAGCCAATGCCTGGCACAAAGGAAGTCTTCAGTAGGTCACAGCTGATAATAGTGATTTTTGACTAGGGGATATGATGAGGGTGTGCGGAACCAACAGAAGGAGTCATTGTTGGGGTGGTCGATGGTGACCAGATTGGGAGGACCAGTTTATGACATTCTAAAGAATGGGAGGCTTTTTCTGGGAGCAGTGGGGAGCCCAGTACCCACGATGCCCCAAGGCTTTCTCTCTCTCTCTCTCTCTCTCTCTCTCTCTCTCTCTCTCTCTCTCTCTCTCTCTTTTTAATATATTTTATTGATTTTTTACAGAGAGGAAGGGAGAGGGATAGAAAGTCAGAAACATCGATGAGAGAATAATATCGATCAGCTGCCTCTTGCACACCCCCTACTGGGGATGTGCCCGCAACCAAGGTACATGCCCTTGACCAGAATTGAACCCGGGATCTTTCAGTCCGCAGACCGACGCTCTACCACTGAGCCAAACCGGTTCCGGCCCAAGGCTTTCTCTTGATGCTCCACCAGTGGCACCTCTTCCTGAGCCCAGTTTCTGAGCCCACACCCTCAGTTTGCTCAGAATCTAAATTTACTGTCCTTGCAATTATTCACACTGTGTCTCATTAGCTGGTGAGCAGAAGAACTCTTAGAGGCCCCAACTGGTAGGGGCGGAGGGAGGTGGGATATTGGGGGGGGTGGGGGGCAGGGAGGAAAGAGAAGGAAAAAGAAAACTTTGGCCATAGAGCCTCCCTGTGTTGACTGCAAGTTGCGGGTGTTGGCCGGTCCCCCGGAAATAGCTTCTAAGGGCAGAGTTGGCTCATGTGTCTTTGAACGTTAAAATTAGAGCGAACCGAGATTGAATACTCCCAAGAAACTGACCAGCCTAACATTTTCTCCTCCCTCTCTCTTTTTATAACTATGACCACAGTAGTAATTCAATTGGAAAACGTATTCTGTCCCTGATTGCTCCAACTCTGGCACGGGATCATTCCCAGGGCTTGATATTTTTATTAAGTGAACGCTGCTGTTATTTTCTGCCGAGGCTAAAAATACATCTGACTGAGCAGCTAGAGCCCAGGGGGCCCTCCTCCCTGTTCTCTCGGAGCCTGGGACGGGCAGGGCCAACAGATTGATGGGCCTCCCAATTAATTTAGGCAGCACCTCGTTTCCCAGGAAAACTGCCCCAGATACTAATATACCTGTAAAAATAAAGACAGAGTTCAGTCTAAAAGGACAAGTTAGGGAGCCTATATACCTAGCCTCATTTATTGCCACTTTTTCACTTCCAGCTACCACACATCATCATTGCAAAGCATTTTATGGACTTTCAAGACCCCTAGTCTTTGTGGATGCTGTTCCTTTGCCCAGAATTCTGTTCCTCCCTCTCCTTCTGGGAGTTCATGATTATCTCTTAGTCTCAGGTCAAGCACCTTCACATTTTCTGAGCCCAGGCTCTGACTGAAATGCTCCTTGACCTATACCCCCATACTCCTTCTGCTTAAGCCTGTCAGAACTCACCTTTTGCATTATAATCACTAGCTTTAGATTTGTCTGTTTGTGAGACCTTGAATTTCTTGAGGGCAGGAATTGTGTCCCATTGATTATTATCCCTGAAGCATCTAACAGTGCTGAGCTCAACAGGATTAAGACCAGGGTAAGGCCAATGAGGCACTGAGGAGACAAAATTCAAGGAGGCACTTCCTTTCAATGTTGACCATGCACTTGAATGATTCTAAAAGTGATAGCCGCCTTAAAGTTCCCACTCGAGGCTCCTAGCTAGTCCCATCCTAGTTCCCGTTTAAAGTGGTTGATGAACAAATGATTTTCGAGTGAAGGCAAGTAGATCACCTTTTCCTTTTGGACATTCTCTGCTGTGTTGGTTTTTATGACAGCACACTCTTCTGGTTTTCCTATTTCTACTTCCTTCTCTGCTTCCTTAAAATTTTTTCTTGTTTTATTGATTTCAGGGAGAGGAAGGGAGAGGGAGAAAGAGACAGAAACATCAATGGTGAGAGAGAATCATTGATCGGCTGCCTCCTGCATGCCCTACACTGGGGATCAAACCTAAAACTCAACTGTGTGTCCTGACCAAGAACCCAACCATGACCTCCTGGTTCATAGGTTGATGCTTAACCACTGAGCCATGTCGGCCGTGCAAAACTCGTTGAGGTTTATTTGGGGCCAGTGTTTGATGACTTCCGCTAATAGGGACCAAGAAGTATGAGTCTATGACCTATCTCCAGGCAAGTGCTCTACGTGGGGCCTCAGCTTCAGTGTCAGATGGGGAAGTACTAATGTCAGTTTGAGGTCCCCAAATGATGTTGTACACAGCTTGGAAATTTCTGACAATAAAATATAAAAGCCTTTTTATGCTGTTTCCGCACCCATTCCGGTTGGTTGATTGGAAGGTGCAGGGAAAACACTGTGAGCTAAAAAGCACCGCTTCAAATATTTGCATGTGGTTTGCTATATAAGATTTCCTATATTTAAGGCAAAAGTTGAACAAAGCCTTTAGGATGTGTAGCTGACACATTTAGAAAGTGGGGATGTGCTACATGCTGTGAACACCCGGGCTTTCTTACCTCTCTAGGCGGACACTTCTATGCCTATTCTCACCTAAGTATGACTGCTTGGCACACTTTAGTGGACATAGAAAAAAGCCATTTTATGGTGTGAGTGAACTCCATCCCAGGAATGAGAAAACCCACCTTCTAAGTCCTACACCCTCATTGTTTGGCAGCAGTGTATCCGTAGACATGTCCTACAGGTGGACATTAAGATAAGAGTTGGCATTGCCTTTCTCTAATATTTTCACCAGAAAATGGAAATTGAGTTAGGATAGCAAGAAGCAGGCGGGGCACAAACAAGTCTTCGATGTCACAAAAAAATTAAATCCTGCAGTATGCAATTATGGGTACTCAAGTGAAACAAAAATATTAATGAGAGAAACAAAATGTTAACTCTGCTTTATGTAATTCCCTCGAAACTTGTTCCAAAATCTCACAAGGACTGAGAAATGAGCATCGTTAAAGCTGAATCATTAATTCATTATCTTCTTAACAAGAACCTACTGAAGGGATGAAATGTTCATTGCAATTTCAGGTCCAATGCTAATAGATAGTAGCTTTTGACCATTAACTGTGGTTCAGGTACTTTGTAAACATACATTCATTATCTAATTTAATTCTTACCACCAACCTCATGAGGTAGGTACTATTATTACACCCATTTTGCAATGGAGGAAATTGAGGTTTGCCAAGGTTAAGTAACTTGCCCCAGATCTCATGGCTGTTAAGCAGCAGACATAAATATTGGTCTGTCTCAGGTCATAGTTGCTGCTCTCAGGCCTGTCTACTGAAGTCCTTGCCTATGCAGAACCCTGAAGCATTCATAGGTGCCTAGAATCGCAAGGAATCATTATTTGAGAAGGGTCTTCTCATTTCATTTCTAACCAATGAATATGTTTCCCTTGTGATCCATAATGAAACATCTGCCTTCTATAAAAATAGCCTTTATCTAACACTCTTGAGATTAACTTTCTTTCTGTGGTTTTCTTTTAAAGGAAAAAGTCCTGGCTCTATAATGTGGCATTTAATGTTCCTCTAAGTCTTTCCTCCGGTAACTGTCCAGTGTGAATGGTGCTGTTACCCACACTCTCCACTTTGGTCAGACAGGTTCAATCATTGTCCTAGAAACACTTCTCCTCCTGCCACCCTACTTATCAAGGTTCCCACTTATCTTCCCCATACATCTAGAATGTGTCCAGTACAGGTGCTCATTTGCAAGGTCCCTCTCAATTCCCACTCTTTTGTGGAGCCCTATCTTGATGAGTTGAATGGTGCGATCAGTGCCGTCTAGAGTCATTCATCTGTGCATTCATTTCCTCATTCACTCAGTATGTATTGAGCATCTACCATGCGCCAGGCTTTTATGCTAAGTGTATCCTGATAAACCAGATAGCATTCCTGTCATACGTACTTTTCTTAAGATTATGATTCATTGATGTAAAGGAACAGCAATCTTTTTGATAATAGATTCCACCCCCCCTCAAGCTTTTAGAATTCAATCTTTGTACCCTTAACATTGTAAGTGGTCAGTAAATGTTTTAGAATGAATTTCTGAATTACATTGCCTTTCTATCTTATTTATTCATGTAATTCCTGAGAGGTTTAAAACTGGCATAAATCATTGACAAGAATTTTATGACCAAAAATATCACTTGGG